ATCAACTACAACATCACTTTGAGACCTAACCTCAAGAGCTTTACTTTCGGTGGCAATGAAGCCATTAAAGTGCGGATCAACTCCGAGACCAAAGAAATTGTTCTCAACACTCATGAGATAGACATCAGTGGCGCTACTTATACGCCAGACAATGGCAAAGGTATTCATAATTTACGCGTTTTATACAAAAGGCTTTAATTATAATGTTTTCCATCGGAAGCGTTAACTTCGGAACGGATCCAAAGCGACAAAGAGACAGAAGTGTCGACCATTGCGTTCAGCGAACCACTGGCCTCTGGAACCGGTGTCTTGAGTCTGGAGTTCGCGGGAACGCTGAACGACAAACTGAAGGGTTTCTACCGAAGCAAATACACGAGTGCTGACGGACAGGAGGAACGGTATGCGGCGGTCACTCAGTTCGAGCCGACGGACGCCCGGCGAGCGTTCCCGTGTTGGGACGAACCGGCGCTGAAGGCGACGTTTGACATCACTTTAGTGGTTCCCAGCAATCGGGTCGCGCTCTCCAACATGAATGTCATCTCCGAAGAGCCGCTCAAAGAGGACGCGGAGCTGAAGTGCGTGAAGTACGCGACCACTCCAGTCATGTCCACCTATTTGGTGGCGTTTGTCGTCGGAGAGTTTGATTACGTGGAGGGAAAGTCGTCCGATGGAGTGGCCGTTCGCGTGTACACACCGGTGGGCAAGCGTGAGCAGGGTCAGTTCGCTCTGGAAGTGGCCACCAAAGCACTGCCCTATTATAAGGATTACTTCAATATCGCGTATCCGTTGCCTAAAATGGATTTAATAGCGATCGCCGACTTCAGCTCCGGTGCGATGGAGAACTGGGGTTTAGTTACCTATAGAGAGACATGTCTTTTAGTGGATCCGCAGAACACGTCGTCCAATAGGAAGCAGTGGATTGCGTTAGTTGTGGCGCACGAGTTGGCCCACCAATGGTTCGGCAATTTAGTGACAATGGAGTGGTGGACACGTGAGTTGGGATCAGTTTATTGTTTTAGAGTTTTTGTAATTAATTGTTTAAATACGGATCAGATCTGTGGCTAAATGAGGGCTTCGCCTCTTTCATCGAATACCTGTGTGTCGACCATCTGTTCAGTGAATACCATATTTGGACACAATTTGTTTCGGACACTTCGCTACCGGCCCTTGAGTTGGACGCTCTCCACAACTCCCATCCCATCGAAGTACCTGTTGGTCACCCGTCAGAAGTGGATGAGATATTCGATGAGATCTCGTACAACAAGGGGGCGGCTGTCATACGAATGCTTCACCGATTCATTGGGGACGAGGTATTGATTTTAGTGATTGGTTGTCACCAATGATTACTTCATTGATTATCTCTTTGGATCAGTTCTTCCGCAAAGGAATGCATTCCTATCTCTTGCGTCACAGCTATAAGAATACATTGACTGAAGATCTTTGGGCTGCACTACAAGAGGCCAGTAATAAACCGGTCAGAGATGTGATGAGCACTTGGACTCTGCAGAAGGGATATCCAGTCATATCAGTGAGTATTGGATCCGAAGAATGATTGCAATATACCTGAACACCATTTGATCCAAAGGTGACATCTCGTCGCGACGGAGAGTCAGTGTTTCTGACCCTAACTCAGGAGAAGTTCTGCGCCGACGGAAAACTGCCGGCTTCTGAGGCGACCACTCTATGGATGATCCCAATCGCTGTGACCAGAGCTTCAGATCCCAACAAAATAGCCGTCGAAGCGCTCATGGATTCCAAGACACTGGACATCGAAGTGCCAAAAGTCTCGACCACTGAATGGCTGAAACTGAACCCAAATTGTGTCGGAGTATATCGAGTCAACTATTCTCCAGATCTACTGAATCTTATGCTGCCTTCGGTTTCGGACAAAACACTTCCGCCTTTGGATCGATTGGGTCTTCAGAACGATGTCTTCGCAATGGTTCAGAGCGGAAGGTCGTCGACCGTAGAGGTCCTCAAATTGATGGACGCCTTCTCTAACGAAGACGACTACACCGTTTGGAACTCCATTAACGGATGTCTCGGGAAACTGAATCAACTCCTGTCCCACACAGAACTGGAACCGCTTTTTCACGCATTTGGCCGACAATTGCTGTCAAAGATATATTCACGACTCGGATGGGAACCGATTAAAGGGGAAACCCATTTGGACACTTTGCTCAGGAGTTTAGTTATCAATCGTTTGGCCTCTTTTGATGACCAGACAGTGATATCTGAGGCCAAAAAGCTGTTTGAGTCGCACTGTGGCGGCACTTATGTCATACCCCCTGATCTCAGGGCAGCCGTCTATCGAGCCGTAGCTCTCGATTGCAATGACAAGACTTTTGACAACTTATTTAAAGTAAGAAAATGTGAATTTGCCTCAAATTCCTCGAATTCACGAATATATGTATCGATGAATAGCTGTATCGCGAGACAGACCTCCACGAAGAGAAGGATCGTGTGGCCAGAGCTCTGGGATCTGTCAAAGACGCCAATCGTATCGCAAAAGTTCTCGATTTTGCTCTTTCCGTAAGAATTGATTTATAAATAAATAATAAATAGATTTTAATTTTCTTTAAACCTTAACCCACAGAATGAGGTCCGCAATCAGGACACTGTGTTTGTGATAATATCGGTGGCGCTCACGAAGAATGGACGGGACATCGCGTGGGACTTCTTTAAGACAAACAAAGACGAGTTGAGGCGTCGATATGAGGGCGGGTTTATGGTCTCCCGTCTCGTCAAGGTTTGTGTCAAATATATCGACCGATGCTTTCGATGACCTCTAATGAGTGAATTGATTCTCATTTACAGTACATCTCTGAGAACTTCTCCACTGAAGAGAGATATCAAGAATTGGAGAAATTCTTCGCCGAAAACCCATTCCCGGGAACCGAACGCACAGTACAGCAGTCGCTCGAAACGGTTCGCCTCAACATTGAATGGTTGGCCCGAGACCTGCCATCCATTCAAACCTATTTAACCAAACGCTCGTAATTAAGTGAAACTTTTAATTTATAATTTAAGTTAATCATCACTTTTATTATTAATTTTGTGACTGAAATCTAAATAAATATAATTTACATTAAAAAATAATTAGACTGTTTTGCAATCAGTTTTCTAAACAAATTCTTAATGTTTATAAACATCTGTTTAATCGCTTTACCTGAGCACAGGTATCCAATTTTGACGTTACATTCAGATTGTTATACTGTATTAATAATTCAAATGATGATTATAATGAGCAAAGTGTAGTCCAAATTGGCTATCGTTTGCAACATTCTGGGTGTCATTCCTTTGACAACAATTTGAGTTGAAAACTAAAAACAAATACTCACTTAAACTAATGGATAAAAATGTGGAAATAATCGACAATTTATTGTTGTTTCTCAAAAAATTACATTATGTTTAGAAACTGTAGTGTTTTGCTGACAGTGAATGAGATTTTAATCGCTCGTAATTAAGTGAAACTTTTAATTTATAATTTAAGTTAATCATCACTTTTATTATTAATTTTGTGACTGAAATCTAAATAAATATAATTTACATTAAAAAATAATTAGACTGTTTTGCAATCATTTTTTCTAAACAAATTCTTAATGTTTATAAACATCTGTTTAATCGCTTTACCTGAGCACAGGTATCCAATTTTGATGTTACATTCTGGGTGTCATTCCTTTGCCAACAATTTGAGTTCAAAACTAAATAAAACAAATACTCACTTAAACTAATGGATAAAAATGTGGAAATAATCGACAATTTATTGTTGTTTCTCAAAAAATTACATTATGTTTAGAAACTGTAGTGTTTTGCTGACAGTGAATGAGATTTTAATTTATAAAAACTTTCCTTTTTATACATGCAATTCGTTTCAATTATTTATTATTATTATTATAATTACAGTATAATTATTAAGGCCTCGAAAAAAATCAATTTGATAGCAAAACAAGTTTTAAAAAAATAAAATGTCGACAAAGGGTAGGAAACCACAAAAAATAAACAAATTGTCACTTAAATTAAATACAAATTAAATTAGACTAATAATTGAATAATTAATTTCACTATAAAAGATGCTCTAAAAACAAATGTAATCAATCCGTTGACTGCACAATGTTTTCCACATTTAAAAACGGTTTTTAAACAAAAAATTTTTTGTGATTTAAATATTTATAATTGACTCAAAAAATGGTTTTGCATTACAATTGTATTAAATATACTGAGCCAACCACCGGAAACCCTCGCCATATCCCTGTCGTTTGAGGACAGAACACATGTACAGCTCTAGTGGACGACCGGGTAGTTCAGAGCGCGCGAGTTTGCCCTGTAATCACACATTTGTATTAGCGGTTAGTTAGCAATCAGTCGTATTGTTGCAGTCAGTCATGCCATAGGTCTGACATACCTTTCCTGTGGTCTGTCCGTGTAATCCAAAATAGGAGCGGATCTCGTCCTCGCCGGCAGCGCCCGGTCTGTCTATTTTGTTGCCTAATATAAGAACCGGACAGTTAGCCAACTGTTCGTCCGTTAATAGACTCTATTCGTAGGCAATAACAAGTGATTAGAGATATAGTGAGTGAACGAGTGGTGCGGTTGTGATCATTGTCTCACATCTAATTCAACTTTGGATTCGGGAAACCTTTCTCTATCGCACGCGTCGATCAGAAAGACAATGGCGTCCACAGCGGGGAAGTAGTCCTTCCAGACACGCCTCGCCTGATGATGACCTCCCAAATCAAAGGTCGTGAACCGGATGTTCCCGATCGACAACTCTTCCGATGCTATCAATACAGACACACAAATGAGACACAAAATCAAACGGACGGGACATATGGGTGGGAGGGGTAGGTGTGGGACAGGGATGAAGGGATGACATACTGGGGTGAAGAGTGGGGACGTGTTGTGCCATCCGGTCATCCTTAAGCATATGAAGGAGTGTAGTCTTGCCGGCGTTGTCCAGTCCCAGGAACAGCAGTTTCCCACTCTTTTTCCATAGACCTGTTCACACATATCAATCAACTCGTGAGCAATGGTTAGCGTCAAGTGCGATGTCATCATCACATCCAACGTCTGTCGCAATCACTCGACACATACCTAAGAAGCCCAACACACCGGAGAAGAAGTCCCAAATGAACATCGTTTCGATCGATTAGATGCCAAACACGTGTCCCTCTGAAGACGATTTGGTTCAATGAGTTTGTGGTGCAATGGAGACAATCAACGGATTCAATGAGAAGTCATTTAATTCATGAAATCGCTGTGAAATGCACTCAAAGTTGAGTTCAGTTTACATTTGGCGTCACTTTTGGCTCTCAATTGAATCCACTGTTCACTCAAACACACAGTCAGTCAATGAGTTGTACACTATTTGGCGTTCGACACCAACACCACTGCAGTGCATACGCGGGGAGTATTCCGGGAGTTAATCTCAACACTCATCACACAGTGCTTCACATAGAGTTGGGGAGCATTCCCTTTGGGACATACCTTACCCTCTATGGTCGAACCCTAACGTACTATCATTGCCATCAAAATGGAGACAAATTACGTGTACATCACATGTTGTAATTGAGTGCAAAAAGTACAGCGCAATCATAGCCATCAGTCAACCACACGATTAATACACGTATTATTACGGCATTCGTTGCCTTATTTACGCAGTCATAGGGTATACACAGCACTCGTACAGTGAATACGACTGTCGGAGCCGTAATGCACACAAACTCTCACTTCATTCACGCATTTGTTTACACTTTGTTTGCATTGCTTTGCGGACAATAGCGCTGACACTATGACCGCAATTGTGTGCACACGTGGTCTCACACGTGGCCTCACACGTGGTCTCTCACACGACTCGTGTCCGGCACTGAGCGCGTGGCCAACGGCTGTGAGCGGTGATGGGGAACGGTATGCACAGCACCGGTATGTGCACCAGTCATCGGTGGTGTGCAAACAGGTGGCCGCCAGATATATCCGCAACAAAACCAAATTCAAGACCTTTCCGATGACCTACGAGATGACAAACCCTCCCTATTATATCGCTGTCCGCAAGGGCTGGAACTCCTGGAACTG